ATTTGTCAACAGTCAACAGTATGAAATGTAAGATGATGCACAGGTCTGGGGGCGGAGCCAGTGCGTTAACTGCGTTCAAATATTTTAGTCACGTTATTTTTTCATCACTAATCAATTAAGTTAACACGGTAAACTAACCTATTGAGAACTGACCTAAAAAAAACTAATTAAAATAGAAAACATAAATTTAATTTGAATTGAAGAAACTTTCAAAAACCAAAAAATCTTACTGACCCCAACTTTTGAATGGCAATGTACATACGCTAATAGCTAATCCTCCAGCCACATCCAGACTCATGCAGTTTCCCACTGTTCCCCCTCCAAAAAGCACCAAAGAGCTCTGTGAATACCACATGATGAGGTGCCTTGACTTCTGAAAATAAAAGCCCATTATCCCAATGCCTTTGTGCTCCTCTATCTGACTCTTTTGGTGCGGCCCCCATTGTCTCAATTGTCTGCTTCCATTCTCAGACCCTCTAGCCATCTTTGGCCCGTTGCCAGTCAGTGAATCCCTGCTTTGGTCCTTCTCTTTTTCCACAACCCATGACTCTCAGTCTGAATAGCCTGCATGTCCCCTCTCTTAAGTTCAAACAACAGACGGCCTCCTTCCAAATGCATTTACTACAAGGGTGGGCTCAACGGTCTCTCTGATTCCCTTGTTCTCTCTGTTTTGTCACAGATGCCTGCAATGTCAATCAGCAGAATAAGGCGGGATATACTCCCATCATGCTAGCAGCGCTCGCCGCTGTGGAGGCCCAGAAGGACATGAGGGTGGTTGAAGAGCTGTTCGGCAATGGCGATGTCAATGCTAAAGCCAGTCAGGTTAGTGTAATTCTACTGTTGCACTTTTTCATTGCTTTAAACTGAACTAAGCACATATTTATTTAAAAACATTTTATTTTATTTTTTTGCATAGATTGAATTAGGGATGCACCGATATGAACATTTTGGCGCTTTAAGATATCGGCCAAATTTTCTTATCGGGCCGATACCGATAACAGAAAAAATGAGCATTTATCGGCCGATACCGATATGGTGGCCGATATATCGTGCATCCCTAGATTGAATATACAGTTAGGTAATACTTGACCATATCCTACACTCTTAAAAATAAAGGTTCTAAGGGTGTTTTTGCAGTGATGCCATAGAGGAACCATTTTTGCTTCCCCAAAGAACCTTTTAGTGAACAGTTCTTAAATTAACCATTTTGAAGAACATTTAAAAATCTAAAGAAACTTTTTTGACTATAAAGAACCTTTTCTGCATTTGAAAGGTTCCATGGATGTTCAAGGTTCTTCATGGAACTATCGATGGCAATAAAGAACCTTTATTTTTAAGAGTGTATGGTCCATTTCATTGATATTAGTTAGGTATCATGAGCTTAAAATTAACAATAAAAAAAAAAAAATGTTAAAATTAAATATAAATAGGTTCATTTCTACTTGCACTACAATTCAAAATTTGGGGTCAGCAAGATTTTTAAATATTTATGTCTCTTGAAGTCAGCTTCCCAAGGCCACATTTGTTTAATTAAAAATACAATAAAACAGTAATATTGTGAAATATAATGTAAAAGAAATTGTCTATTTTAATATTGTAAAATGTTATTTATTCTAGTGATGGCAAAGCTGAATTTTCATCATCATTACTCCAGTCTTCAGTGTCACATGATCCTTCAGAAATCATTCTAATATGCTGATTTTTTTTTTTAGGATTCTTTGATAAATAGAAAGTTAAAAAGAAATGATTTAAAATGTATAAATGTGTTTACTGTCACTTTTGATCAATTTAATACGTTCTTCTTGCTGGATAAAATATTAATTGAAAAATATATATATATTTTTTTACTGATTTTTACACATCATACAAGAATGATAGTATAGTAAATAATAATATAGTAAAATGAAAATAGTATAGTATATAAATTAGTATTAAACTAGATTATTGGCTTTTGAGGCAGTAGTCTGTTACTTTTGAAGTCTCTAAACTGATCTCATTGACCCTGTGAGTCCAGGCTGGTCAGACAGGGCTGATGCTGGCTGTCAGTCATGGCAGAATGGACATGGTGAAGGCTCTGCTCGCCTGCGGTGCAGACGTCAATATCCAGGATGATGAGGGCTCGACCGCGCTTATGTGCGCTAGTGAACACGGTCACGTTGAGATAGTCAAGCTTCTGCTGGCTCAGCTGGGCTGCGACGCCACACTCAGCGATAATGTGAGTGAGCAGAGTCTCAATTTAACCTAGATAGTCCACCAAATACGTTTAATGAACATGACGTATATTTATGTAATGTGTTCCACTCATTTCTCATAGTGGATACTGCTGTTGTTATCAGAAAGCAAGTAAGGCTAATGAGGTGTTCGCCATTTGTATGTTTGTTTTCTTGTCTCTAGGATGAGAGCAATGCCCTGTCTATTGCTCTGGAAGCAGGTCATAAGGACATAGCAGTGCTGCTGTATGCCCATATGAACTTCTCCAAAGCTCAATCACCGGTGAGTGATCGCAATTCACATACAGCTGATACACAGTGCATTCATTTGATCTATTTGTACATTGTGTTGTGTTGATTAGGGTTTTTTTTGTAGTTTAATTTTTAATTTTTTTAATAAGTTGGAATGTTTCAGTGGATAATCACAATTTATTTTGTAATAAGCAGAGTTTAGAGTCAGAAGGAGGCCTATTACAATAGCTATGGATTTTGCAACTGACTCATGTTTGGCTCCCTTTCCTATAAATCATATCTTTTATGTCTGTCATCTGTTCACAGGGTACGCCTCGACTTGGGAGGAAGACTTCACCCAGTCCTACAAGGAAAGGGCATGTTTGATCGTAGAGCTTCTACCCCACCCTGCCTGAGCTGCTATTTTTTCAGGTTCTGCCATGCCTACCATTTTCATCCGCTAGAAACCAAATCTACAGCTAAAAGACTGAAAACTTACTCCAAAGCGCAACTAATGGATAGTAGGCAATTATACTGAGCACTTTCTTCAAACTTCTCATGGGTTATGTCTTTCTCCTTGGCTTTTAGATTATAATACAAATGGGCTTGCTAGCTAAGAGTCAGTCCCTTAAAACCTCAAATGTGTACTCACCCTGAATGTATTCAGAAAGTATTCTTCTGCCTAAAATCACCAGCGTAATGTCAGAGCTAGACGTCAACTGGAAAGTGGCTATGGAGTTGCCTTCAGAATATTGTTATTCTCATATTAATGTTTAATTTTATAATATATGGATATATCTTTGTATTCTTCCTCCTTTGAGTGGTCTAAAGCTTAAGTCAACATTTTTCCCTCTCTGTGTTTTTTTTTTTTTTTAAATAATCAATAATTTATAATTCCAAGATGTGGCCAATGTTGCCTGACAATGAGCTTTATTTGAACCATGTATATGCTGCCCAGTATGTTCAGCCTTTGGGGTTTAAATCTTTTCTCCTCCATCAAATCCCCAGCAGAGATGTCCAGTGGGTATCAGAGGTTGAAACACAGACTTTCAACATGTTATTTTGAACACATATTTCTAGATTTGGATTAGGTCCTTACTTTTATACTTGCCATTTTATCTATTTAAAAATCACAGTATTTAGGACATTTCAGATTTATTTTATAACATGAAGTTATATATGTACCTATTAAAAGTTTTTATCGGAAATAATTGTACTTTGATTGTATATATTGTATGTTTGCCATAAGTGGATGCAGTAGCTTTGACAGGCCTTCATGTGATAAACTTATGTCGTAGGTCTAATATATGGCTATTCATGTAGTCACAAATAGAATAACAGATAACTACAGATAGTAGCCAATAACTTGATAATAAAGTACTAAAAAGACATGGCTTGTGCCCGTCTCTCTTCTGAACCTCTTCTTTCAGTTAATCCACTTTCTTACAGCTCAATAGTACAATGTCTCCCTCTACTGGAATCACAGCTAATGTATAGTTCTAATATATTTTGACATGCTTGCTTGAACTCTTTCTTGTTAGGCATTGTTATTCAAATAGGAAATATTCAGTTGAAAATGTAATTGTATACATTAAATGTATACATGTCTTTTTGACATCTTAATTTAATATCGAACATTTTTAATTTAATTTTAATAAACTAATTAAAATTGTGCTTAAAAGTTAGCTCGACTCCTTGCAGGTGGGGAGATCGGCAGGCATGAAAATATGATGAGCAGATTTTCAGTTGTATTAAAGCTGTGTTTTAGATATGGACACGGCAAAGAAAGTTACAAATATGATCAGTGTCCTGGTTTGGCCCGTTAGCCCCTGCTGGTCGACATCGGAACTTCACCATTATGCTGCGAAAAGTGTCTTTCTCCACTGGCCGTCATTGAGAATTAGTATTGTGATAATTAGCTATGTGTTTATGCGAAACCGCAGAAAGCATTTATTCACTGCAGTTAATTTAGTCTCATTTTCAAGTAGGTTATAAATATTACTTCAAATATTATAGATACCTTTTGAATATTCCGTTTATATATAATGTATGTATAATGTATGTATATATAAGCCTGAAACATTATAAAATGTTGACTATAAAATAATAATAATAATAAAATTCTCATAATTTCTTTTGGCCCCTAGCACTTATATCTTACTGTTGTTTTATGTGCAAATAATCACGTATGAATCATGGCATTTTTTTATTTATTTGCGTCACTTTGATACCTAAATGCCAACAACTGACTGGAGCCCATATCAAATCTGTGACACCCTTTCACTTATTACAACAAATCTTATTCCAAAATATAAACACCCTTTATGCTCGCATTTTGTTTTGTGTCTTATGAAGCATGATTTCATGAGACCGTTTGGCAGTCACTTGGTCTCACTGGGAGAAACTGAACATCATCTCCCACGCGCGCTGGAATGCACAGGTTCCTCGCGCCAAACTTGAGTATCAAACCTCAGACCTCTGTCCTCCCTTTATAAGCGCTTTACAATCGGCTGGCGTGACATGTTCTAAGAAGCAGCAGCATCATTATCACCTGCCGGCATGAGCGAGGAAGAGCAGAATAACGGCTCGCTGTCTGTCAGGAAACCGTCTCGTATGCCGAAGTGCTCTCGCTGCAGGAACCACGGCTTCGTGTCGCCGCTGAAGGGCCACAAACGCTTCTGCAACTGGAGAGACTGCCAGTGTCAGAAATGCAGACTTATCGCTGAACGACAGCGGGTCATGGCAGCCCAGGTAACGTTACGCTATCCATCCTCGACGGGATGCGAGTTCAGCTAGTCTCTTTTTATTTTATTTATTTGTTTATTCAACGTTCATTGTAACCCCCGCTCTAATTTCACTGTTTAACTTAGTTGTTTATACATTTAAAAGCAAAACTACTCCATGTTTCATGCCTTGCCTCCCCTATTATTTTTGAATTCATTGTTTTGCTTAAAGAAGACTAACGTTACCGTATGTTTTAGCCGTGTTTACAGTCGAGTTTACAAATAATTGGATTGTTTGCTACAACAATAATGATAAATTGTTTACAATCATAGTAACGTTTTGTAGCTAGTTAACTTACAAGCTACATTGTTTTTCAGCTAACTTAGCTGCAGTTTGGCGCCTTAGCGAGATTTTCTTTTTTCTTTTTCAGAAATAAGGCGGACGGTAGAAAAACATCCATTTTATTCACTTTAATTTATTTAGATGTAATCAAATTATAATTCAAATGCCTCGTGGTACTTTTATTAGGTAGAGAGTGAAGTGGCTCGGGCGTTTCAGGCCTTGAGGTGACTGTTTGTCATGGTAGGTGGCGTTACGGAGGCAGCAGGCCCAGGAGGAAGAGCTGGGCATTTGCAATCCGGTTAACCTGTCCGGTTCAGACACTCTGGTGAAAAACGAGGCCGCCGGTGATAATGTGTTTACTATCATCTCAGAACCGCCATCACCCACCGCCAGCAGTGCTACCGCCTCTCCCACCAACCTAGGTGAGTAAACCGCATTCATTTGATTAAAAAACAAAATTGACTCAAACATCCAGTTACACAAATGTGTATTTTCGCTAGAACTGGATGTGTACAGTATATTTGTTTCAAATAAATAGCTAAAACATGATTTTGGAATTTATTTAAGCAGAAATTTCCAACATAAGTATTTGTAATAGCTGTTCGGTAACAAGTCAGGTCAGTAAAACCTCACTGAGATGTATTTTGGCAAGAGTCAACTAACTTATATTATCAAGACAGGTAAGGGCATCTTTCATGAATGTCAGCTTGGGGCAAGTTGTTACGGGTTACAGCTGTGTCACAAGTTTATATACGCCTAGCAGAATCTGCAAAATGTTTATTATTTTAACAAAACAATAGGGACCCTCCAGCATATTTAAACCATTGAACTGGGTCATTTTTATGAATTCAATTATTTTGTCTTGTGGGCTATGTAAACATCTATTATGTCTTTTTGAAGACAGAATAAAAAAATTACATGCAATCTTATTTTGTTAAAATTATTAACATTTTACAGATTCCTCAAGGTGTATGTAAACTTTTGACCATAGCTGTATAGTATATGTTGTGATTTTATGGAACTTAATTTCATTGTTCGTTTATTCAATATCTATTTGCTGAATAATGTTTCCATACATTGTTTAATAACGTTGATAATTGTTTTACTGAAAATCTGAAAAGCCATTAAATAGCCTGTAATACATTTTAATTACAGATATGTTGTGTAAGATGGCTTTTATCTACTTTAGAATGTAGTATGTAATATTACAATAAATAAATAAATAGATATTACTGACTATGTTACAGCAGGTTACCACTTTCTGTGATAACTTACCCATACAGTGTTAAACAGATGGTATATTTTATTTCCTTTTGGAAATAATATAAATATTCAGTAGATTTTTGTAGATAAATGGTACCCAAATTAGCTATAATTTAAAAAGAAAATTAACCTGAGAAATTAACTGAAGCAAAAAATGTGAAAGCTAGACCCAGTCTTCCCTAATCTAACGTAAGCATACTTTTTATTTTGAATTTTGAGTTTGCTTTTGAAATAAATGTAATCAAATTATGTTTTCATAAATGCCTGATAAAGTAAAAAAAAAAAAAGGCGTTCTTCAGCTTATTGTGTAATAAATAAGCTCTTGTTTTACTGTGTGTGATATGTCTTTGCATGGCATCAGATGTTTCATTACAGTGACCTTCAGTATTTTTTCGTTCTCAATATTTGTCCATTAATTTTATTAAAATAAAGCCTAAGCTCATCTCGTTGTGCGAAGTTTCTGTGAATCAGGTCTTTGTTGCTTGGCCATGAGAAAATGAGGAGATAAGTACCTCTTCTTGACCCCCTGAACTGTCCACTGTCCAAGGATCCGTGACCATGGACATCTTGTACCCGTCCCATGATTCTCCATTCTGCCGCCCTCCTCAGAACACAATACAGTCAATGAGGTGCACCTCCATTCTCATATGAGGGGAGGGGAGGCTCTCAGCATAGATGGCCATTGTGCCATGCCAGACCATATCCACGGAGGGCTGTTGTGTTCAATGAACACGAGAGACATCCTGTTCCTAGTGCTCCGATAGCACTGAGGAAGGAGTTTGGATATCAGACAGGTCAAGGCTGCATATGCTCTGTAATTGTACTCAGCTGCCTCTTTGGTTGCTGACAGATGAAACAGGAGTTACTGGAGGTTTTCAGTAATTGTCGTCAGAGATAAAGTGACACATGGCATAACACACATGCTGAGCCATCTGTAATAGACAAAGTAACTTATGATATTAGTGTGAATCTGCCATCACTTTCACTTAAAGCACTAAAGCGTTTTGTATTTGTTGACCATATACATATGTTTTATGCCTTGCAAACGCAAAGTAGATGAGGTTTGTTGTCAGAGAAACTGAACAAAGTGAATGATTTTAGTTTATGCTTCAAACAAAAACAGATATCCGTCAAGGGGGTATGAATAATTGTTTTCCTTTAAAATTGTGTCATTTTTTTTCTGAGTCCATTGGCGGATATTTGTTCTTGTTTTAGTCTTAACTTCATTTTGATCAATTTCTTATAAAACAAGACTTCTTATTTTTGTCATTTTACTTGTCAAGTAGATGTATCTTTATCTTAATTTAAGAATTTGTAGACATTTGCACTGGAAAACAAGACAAACATACTGATGAAGAACATCAGTTTTTTTGCAGCGTGATCAGAGTACAGTGAAAGTTATTTTCATATTCTAGATACAGTGGTGTGAAAAAGTGTTGGCCCTCTTCCTGATTTCTTATTTTTTTGCATGTTTGTCACACTTTAATGTTTCAGATCATCAAACAAATTTAAATATTAGTCAAAGATAACACAAGTAAACACAACATGCAGTTTTTAAATGAAGGTTTTTATTATTAAGGGAAAACAAAATCCAAAACTACATGGCCCTGTGTGAAAAAGTGTTTGCCCCCCTGTTAAAACTGTGGTTTATCACACCTGAGTTCAATTTCTCTAGCCACACCCAGGCCTGATTACTGCCACACCTGTTCGCAATCAAGAAATCTCTTAAATAGGACCTGCCTGACAAAGTGAAGTAGACCAAAAGATCCTCAAAAGCTAGACATCATGCCGAGATCCAAAGAAATTCAGAAACAAATGAGAAAGAAAGTAATTGAGATCTATCAGTCTGGAAAAGGTTATAAAGCCATTTCTAAAGCTTTGGGACTCCAGCGAACCACAGTGAGAGCCATTATTCACAAATGGCAAAAACATGGAACAGTGGAGAACCTTCCCAGGAGTGGCCGGCCGACCAAAATTACCCCAAGAGCACAGCGACGACTCATCCAAGAGGTCACAAAAGACCCCACAACAACATCCAAAGAACTGCGGCCTCACTTACCTCAGTTAAGGTCAGTGTTCATGACTACACCATAAGAAAGAGACTGGGCAAAAATGGCCTGCATGGCAGAGTTCCAAGAC